TTGTCTATTTTTGCATTTGTTGCCTATGTTTTTGAGGTCATAGCAAAAAATAATTTCTCAGAGCAATGTCATGAAGCTTTTCAGCAATACTTCCATCTACTACTTTCCTAGTTTTCAGGTATTTGATCCAGTTGACTTTTTAAATTTATTTTTATTTGAACCACATAAATTGTACACATTTATGGGATGCTGAGTTGGATTTTTTTCTTTTTATTGAGTTTATTGGTACATTTTAGGTATACAATACAGTTACATTCATTATTGGGATCTTGTACCTTTACATGACAGGTCTTGGTTCTCATTTTTTCCCCTTGTCCGTGCCTTCTCTTCACCCCCTCCTCCCCACCCCATTTGGATTTTTTATTTTTTTGTACCGGGGATTGAACTTGGGTCCTTGCTCACGCGAGGCAGGTATTTTTCCCCTTCCGTGCCTTCTCTTCACCCCCTCCTCCCCACCCCATTTGGATTTTTTATTTTTTTGTACCGGGGATTGAACTTGGGTCCTTGCTCACGCGAGGCAGGTGGTGGAACCACTGAGCTAAATCCCTGGCCCCGAGTTGGATTTTTAACATGATGTCAGGTAAAGTTCCTATTTTATTCTTTCACATGCAGTACTTATTGAAGAGACTGTCCTTTCCTATTATGTGTTCTTGGTATCTTTACTGAAAATTAGCAAGCCAAAACTGGCAGATTTATTTCTATGCTCTTTATTCTGTTTGATTTCTGAGTTTGCATGCATGTTTTTACCACTACCATGCTCTTTTGCTTACTTTTGACTCGTAGTGTATTTTGGATTCAAATTATATGATGTTTCTGAAGCTTTTATTCATTTTGCTTAAGATTACCTTGGCTAGGTGAGGTCTTTTGTGTTTCTACATGAATTTTAGGACTGTTTTACCTGTTTCTATGAAGAATCTCCTTTATATCTGGGTCAAAATTCTATCAAATTATTAGATCATTTTAGAGTGTGTGAACATTTTAATAAAATGATTCTTTAAATTCATGAACATGGGATGTTTTTCTATTTATTGTTTCTTTTTTATTTCTTTCATGAATGTTTTCATCTGGATATATTTGCAGTTACTTATTTCCACTTAATCTTTTTTTCTAAGTACACAATGATAGAGTGGGGAAAATTCTCAAATTTTTTCTACAATGTACTAGTTCCACAACTGGACAAACCTGTGCTCTCTTCTTTGGGATGGATAATTGTGGTTAGTGGGTTGGTGAGTTGTTGCTAGTTTGACTTTGGGCTGATCGTTCTTAACCTCTTTCTTAACAGTACTCACCACTGGGGTTTGATCCAACTTCTCTCTAACAGGACATTTTAGTTCACAGTACAGGGCTTTCTGCCATAATTCTGTGGTGTATGATGTAGCCCATGTCTCTTTAGCCAAGTAAGATTGAAACTTCCTGTTCCCCTGAAACTTGGTGCAATTTTTAACTATACTCGTTAGCTCTTTTTATAAATAATGATTTAGATTCAGAAACATCCAGTTTAGTCGATGGTTTTTCTTCACTGGTTTTCTTCCTCCTTGTTATTTTTCATGGGTTTCAAAGAGAATTGAAGAGCAGAGAAATTTTTATTTTGACTTATTAACATAGAAGATGTACAATCATAGTCTTTAACTCGTCTTCTACCTTTTAATTTGTCTTTTCATGTTCATTTCCTGCAGCCTTCTCATTAAAAAATACAAACCAGAATTCCTACCTTTCAAATGCATGTTCCATTTAGCTTAGATTGTAAATTGTAGTCATCTCTTAATTGCCTCACAAGCTCCATATGAGATGGCCTCTGTGCCTTTCTTTTTAGTTTTCTTATGCCTTTACATTTTAGGAATACCAACTTTCTGGTCTATCTGATAACATATTATGAGATTTCATATCTGTACTCCTTTTCACATACCTGTTATTTCTGCCTAGGACTCTTACCTACCTAACAAGCTTCTATTTTATTTATTTATTTGTTTGTTTATTTATTTATTTATGGTACCAGGGATCAAACTTGGGACCTTGCAATTCAGGTGGTGAGACTACTGAGCTAAATCCCTGGCCTGCTTCTATTTATTCTTTAAAGCCCAGTTTGCATGCATCTTGCTTTATGACTCTTTCCTTCACTCTTTGAAACAGGATAGATCTTTCTCTTCTTTGTGCTAATTTTTCATATATATTTTGATCATTATATTTCCTTACTATATTATAACCATTTGATTAGCTATTTTTCTTTAATACACTGTGAGTTCTTTGAACTTGTACTTCATATCTTCTTTACTTGGCATAGGGCTTAGTATTTTAAGAGTCTCAAATAATTAATTGAATTAGTATGAAATAAAATAATTACTTAGCTTTAATAAAGTAGAAGAAAGATTTTAAATGCAAGGCTTGAATTTTTTTCTTTTGTTGAGTCTGAAGGAAATAAAATTGTAAATAATATCAAGACAAAACAGCAAAAGCATGAATATTTAATAGATTACAATAAGGACTATTAATCAGGAAAGAAGTAAACAGGAGAGCTGTAGGTTATGGAGTCATTTGAATGCAAGCACTAGTTTGCATTGTGAGGACAGATATGAACTCTAAGATAAAGTATAGATGGAGGAAAAATCCCTAATCTGTGACAAAATTATGTGTTTTTCAGGTACAGTGGGAAGAATAGTCAGTGAGAGTTTCTTTTTCAAAAAAAATTAATTTTATTGGTACAATTTAAATATACATAATGATCACATTCATCAAAGGGAATTTATACCTGTACCTGTTACATCTTGAGTCCTCATTTTCTCCCAATCCCTTCCCTCCCTTTCAATTTCCCCTACACTGCTTATATATAAAAGTTTTGTTTCCATTTTTCCCTTGTTTTCTTGGTTTTTCTCCCTTTCCTTTCTTTCCCCCTCTACCTGCTTTGCAGTGAGCTTTTCTGCCTGCCTCAATGTCAGGTTGAGGAAGGTGATCTGTTCCTAAGATTTGACCTCAGTTTTAAAAATAACTACTCATATAGCTGATTTCAGGATATTTCTTCTCTCCTGAGCTAAGTTCTATAAAACTTTTTCTGCCCATTTCCAGCAGTAATGGATGATGTGCATGTCTCAGTAGTATAATTTAGTGACTTGTTGCAGCAAAAGATGAAATACTGGGTGAGGATTGAAATACTCCATATGCCTTAGAATTCCACAAATCCAGGCATGTGGGAGACACCCAGCACAGAAATTCAACAAGACTAATCCTGACAAAACATTCTGAATTTGATAGTTCTTCCCTGCTGCCTGGACACACTACAGAATGCATTCACTTGGGACTTTAATGGAGCCATCTGGATTTTTTCAGGTTTAATATTAGTTCTTTGCTTTTTCAAAAAAAACAGGAAAGGCCTTGCTTCACAAGCTCCCTGACACATTTATTTGACAATTGGCATGGAGATTTCTTTGTGTCTCTAGCTAGCTCTGAGAGAAGTAATTTGTAAACAGTTTATGACATTTTTGCTTACTGCTTTGAAAATGCCCAGAGGGATGTTTCCATTGCTGATGCTTTTATGCCCTAGGAAGCTTAAGATATTAATTCATCTTATTTTACATATATGTTTCTTTTTAGATTCACCATACACAACCATCTCATCTTCCATTCAACTTACTTTGTTTTTCTGAGTCATAGAAACAGATTATGTGTGTCTCTGTCACAGAGTGTTATGATGAGGCCCTTTGGCCCTAAAATTGCCCATATTAGAGCCAGTGGAATGTTAGCCACCTTCCTGACAGTCTTTTGCTCACAGCTGATCTAGGAGCTGCAAAATTGTTTTGGTCATTGGAAGGTAACATGATGACTTTTTGAGAAGCTCCAGAATGTGTTTGAATTTGAATATTAGCATGGTGGTGCTAAAATCAGATGCACTCAATAAGTTTAAATGAAAGGCCTACTTATTCTAAATAAAACACAGTTGTATATACAAGAGGTTACACCCTAAGACCAATGTGGAAACAATACAGAATAAGGGAACTCAAAGGGCTACATTCTTCAGCTCTACCTGGGGGAGGCCAGCTACTATTTCTCAGGCAGCAATGATGTAGTGATAGTGGCAAGTTCTTGCTCACCATTCCCTATCACCCAAATGCCAATTTTCGTTCCACCAAGTTTTGAGACCCTCTGTAGTTTTCACATGCAGAAGTCTACAAAAGAGACCCATGAGGTTGAAATGATTTATACTTTATCCCTAGTGAAGGTTAAAGGTTTTCTTTCCATTACTACTATGTCTTTATACTTTAGTGTTTACTCACAAAAAAGCCTTTCAGTCAGGACAAGAGGCTAATTTTTCTACATTGCCCACTGTATCTCAATTAGGAGTCAAATAGGGGAAAGGTTTTTCTAGTTGATATGATGTGTCACTTTATATCTGACTACCATAATGAGATCTGGACCCATAAATGCTATGCAAAAATTTTTGGCTTATGAAAGTTTGTGAGATTCCAATAGTTGCTCTCTTGCCTCATCCTGATTCTCATAAGTTTAGAGACAGAAGGCCAGCTCACAGAGGGTTAAACTCAACCTCACTCAAACATAAAATTTCAAGCCATTTCTTATTTCTATCTAGTGTTTTACTGTCCAAGAAGATCTGTTTTTATCTATAAACAATTAAGATGGTGACTATAGCTATTTATGTCCATATTTTTCCCAGGAGGTCTCACTTTGGGCAGGAGTGATTTTACCTATTACCATATTTCTATGAATTATCTTTTTCTGTGATAAGTTTAGACTTAACCAGGTTTACTGAAGTTTTATGACACCATGTATAGACATGACATTTACTTAATACTCAATACCCAAACAATCCAAGTAAGATTTGGAAGTTACTGATTGGAATATGCCAGGCAACCAGTATAGCATTAATTATACTGCTTTCTATATTGAGTTTCCATTTAAGGGAATTTTGTGAATATAATTTCTATAAAATTATTTGTGGCTATTTTGTTATCATATGCAAAGTATTTATCATGCTTATTTTCTCTTTTTAGGTCACCAGTCTCTTCAGAAGATCATGGTAAGAATCTAACTTATTCATACTAATTAAAAATTGAGCCCTGATCCTTGCATTTCTTTCTCAGAGTAAAGAATTATTTAAGAAAGTGTCTCTAAGATGTAAGCCTTGTAATTTTTTTTTTTTTTTTTTTTTTTTTTTTTTTTTTTTTTTTTTTTTTTTTTTTTTTTTTTTTTTTTTTTTAGTGTGAAATGTCAAGCACATTTAAAGACTTAATCCACTCTAGCTGAATTTGCTATCTGGTATTATTTTCAAATCCGTTACAAACACTTGATTGGCAGTTACTGTGAGGTAAAAGTAGTCTGCCTGATTTCTGTCCCATCACCAGAAACTTCTTGTGATTTTGAGCTAATCATTCATCATCTCTGTGTCATATTTACATCTTTTAAATGGAGATTTATAGTAGACAAAAGTCCCTTCTAGATTGGACATTGGGACTGTGTCTTAGTCTGAAATGAAGCTAATTAATAAGTTAACATGAATAGTTACCTAATTGAGGTGAACTGTTTGTATTTTAAGAGACAATTATGTCACTCAAAGGATAAAATATCAAATTGCATTTCATGTAAGCTTTAGAATTATTCATTTATTTGATCAATCAATCAAAATGTTCATTAAGTGGCTACAGTGGTCAATTATGCTATAAAATTATGTTTTACAAATATCTACAGTAGATGCAACTTTAATGGGGGGGCTCTTTAAGTCACTTTGTGCTTTTCCTTGTCTGAAAACTGGTATCCATCCCTGTAGAACTCCCGCAGTTCACTATGCACAGCACTAAATGATCATAGTAAATCGTCCCAATGCCCAGGGGATGAAATCTTTCCAATAGAATGGTAATCATTTGGCTTTTCCAATTGTGTTTTAATGTGGACTAGTGTGCCTTAAATGATGGAATATTTGTCTTCCTCTACTGCTCATTTTTTCTTTTGCCATCTTTTACTTTTCTCCTTTCTGTGATCCATACACCAGCTATATGAGATGACATCTAATTTTTGGAACTCACCATATTTCTTGTGTTACCCTGTTTTGTCCATACTGTTTCTCTGGCAAGAAAATACTTTTGCCGTATAGATAGTTCCTGCCTACCTTCCCTCATATCTTTGAGCATTTTCTGATCCACTTATTGTGCCAAATATGTTTCTTCAACCCAGGGTTTAGCACTCAAATTTGATGCCTTATTTAGATGGTTCCCCTATTAGATTGTGAGTTCTTTAATATAGTTAACACTTGGCAAACATTCAAGAGTATTTACAATATGAATTAGTTAAGGAAATGTGAGGCATTTGAGGCACCTCACTTGCTTCCACATCAGGAAATCTGTCCCGATGATACCACAATAAAGTTGCATCATGTTTTATGAAGAATCACAGGAAAATTATGTTCAGTCCCATTAAGTCAGAATTAGGTAATCAGCCACCTAATGGTAGCCCATTATCATGAATTGTTATTTTGCTGATTGTGGCCATATGAATAGGTTTTTGATTGCATATTTATAGGTTCTTGGGCTTCCATGACCAAAGCTATCAACTAGAAACTTTTGCTTTTATTTTAGACTAGCTTTGCCCTTAATGACCTTTGATTGCTTTTGTCCTCCTAGCTATCCACTCAAAAAGAGGGGAAAAGGAAATTCTTAATTTCAATTTCTCTAGTCCACTAGGGCTTGTTTAGTGGTTATGAGATACCATTGAACGTATGTCACAGTCTTTGAAGGGTGACTACTACCAGAAAGACTTGCTCCTTAGTAAGAGCACTTCAGAACTGATTATTTTCACAGCTCTTATTTGTGATTAGCTGAAGAAATAGTACCCAAATCAGAAGAAGGCTACTATATTTTTGTGACTTCAAAAAATGTATTATATGTCTGTGCCTCTTAGGTTGCTTCTGCAATTCCAAATATAGTTCAAATGTGTAATATAGATATATGTAATGTAATCAGTAGTTTATAATCTTCTATCCTATGTGTCCTTAGAAAAATATTCTTATCTTTTTTGATAATGAGGATTTTCTATCTAGCACTCAATTTATATTTTCTTATGTTTACACATTTTGGGAGCTTTGATTTACTATGGTTTGTAGAAGACCTCTTATTGTTACACCATCAATCTTGCAATACTTTTTTGCATTTGTACACATTGCAATAATCTTGTAAGAGAGGCAAATCAAATTTTTCAAATTTATTGTAAGAATTTTGAGGCACATTGGGCAAATGGATTGTGAAATTGGAACATAAAACCTTATGCCTCTTGGTTTTCTATTTTGTTTACTTTCCACCAACAATCCTGCTTCTCTCTTTAATGACTAGTCCCTTTGGGCATCTGTGAAGCAGCATTCATTCTTGGTGAAATCTAATTTTGAAAAGTCCAATAAAAATGAGTCATTTTCCATTTGTAACAGTTGCCCTGCATAGAATACGTGGCTCTATCAGTCACCCCTTCTTATTCTTGACTTTGTTTTCCTTCATCTGTAAAATGGGGCTAATCATATCTTCTCTGCATCCACACAGATGAGGGGTACAAATAGGAAGTCATCTGTGAAATTACCTTCTAAATTGCTAAGAACACTTCACACACAATGCTGTCATTCTTTTACATCCAGGCAGTGGGAGAAGAAGCCCAGATTTACTGATGACTTTTGCTCAGCACTAGATATTTCATTTGCAAATCTAAAAAAACGGGGACTGTCCAGAGGAAGAACGATTTTCTTTACCCTTCTCATTAAATATTAACTTCTCACTGAAGTGAGCAGGAGTAGAATGTGTGGTATCCAGCCGAGTTTGTGGTGCTAAAATAAAGGCGCCGTTCATGAAGAGATGCATGGTCACATGGAATTGGTGATCCAATGCTCAAAAGGCTTGTGTAAACTGTTTCTTTTTGCAGAGTAGAAGAGTATCAGGTAGAATTTATTGAGAATAAAAGGTAGAATTTATTGAGCATGTACACAGAGACACTGTGCTAATATGTTTTGACTATATTATTTTGTTTCATCTTTAACCAACTTCACTGTACAGGAGATGCATCAACCTCAATTTTACAGCTGGGGAAACAAGCTCAGAGGACTTAAATAACTTGCCTAGGGTCACATAGCTAGTAAGTGGTTCTGTTAATTTTCAAACCTGGTTCTACCATCCAGATGCTTGCTCTTTTACCCACCTTGTCCATAGGAAACCAAAGAAGTGTTTGTCAGCATTAAGGTGAAGTGATAGAATTATCAAGGAAAAAAATATTTCTTCCCCTAACAAGAGTTTATTTACTGCTCTATAATTTCTTTTAATGACAAAACAAAACAGAACAAAAGATAACAATGTCTCCCTCCTGCTGGGAATGATCTGTCCCGGTAGAAAAAGTAAATACCAATGTCACATTTTCTCATGATTAGTTAACTGAGTGAAACTGAAGCTTGGGGAAACCTGCCATGCTCAGCCCCCCTGGGAGCATTGCACTTTAACCGTACATCTGGAAGCTGGAGTTCTACTCTTGTCAGAAGATAAGCTTGGCAGTGATGGATTGCTCTGTCTTCTGGGTTTCTTCTGCACTTAGTGACTGTCACTTCATCATTTAAATTGCTCCTTAAGCCACCCCCTACGCCCAGTGGCTTCTCCTGCTCTGAGCTCTCAGCTTGTCATGTTAGTTTGCTTATTTCATGGGCGTATCAAAATACCATTTTTGCAGCTACCAACTAGGCCAGCACGCTGAGGAAAGGTCATCTTCCAGCTAGTGTCTACTCCCTTACAAACTGAAAGGGGTAATCAGCTCTGGAAAGGAAGTGCCCCCAATCTGCTTGCTTCCCCTCAGAACATCTGAGGCAGGCAGCCCTCTCCTGTCCTTCCTCCCAGACCTGTTGGCCCTCACAGCCACTGCGCTCTGTGGCAGACTGCTTGGTGTAGCAGGCGTGTAGCAGACAAGGATGGCTTGTGAGTGTCTGGAAATAACCTACAATCACAAGCGTCAAGTGTGCAAGCAAGGATGAGTCTGGTTTAGGAGCAGAGTTAACTGTACTTGGCAGTAGATTGTACGATGGAACACATCCTGGGGGGGCTCCCAAATCTGAGAGGCATCAAATAGTGTCTCTTGTGGGATCACTTATCTCTCATGTAAATACTCATTTACATAAATAATTAGTATTCACAAAATGTATAAAATGTATCTGCTCCCTTTGAAACCCAAAAGGAATTACTGTGATCTGTTCCCCAGACTAAGAAATAAAACAGCCTGGGAGCTTCGTGTTTGTTTTTCTAACTTTTTCTCTTTCCTTTCTGTCACAAATCATTTCTGTCCAGTGCTCACGTTGCTCGTGTCCTTGCTCGTGTCTTTGTATCCTTGTATCATTTACTAACAGTCTGCATACTCCACATTTGAATCTATATATCATTAAAGATGCATACACACGTATACATCTGTGTGGGTATATGTACTATGAGTTCTGCCTAGTTTAAACATTTACAAACTAAATCAGATTGTGTATTCTTCTCTGACTCATTTTTCTTATTCAAAATAATGCCTTTTATGATTCATCCTTGTTGAATGCCTACTTTATTTTATTAAATTTTTATGTTGTATAATATTCCACTGTGTGAATATGCAGTACTTTACATACTTGATCTACTACCATTGAATGTTTATATAAACTATGAGATTTAAATTGTTTTTTTGTTTTTTTTTTTTGGCTATTGCAAATATGGACATTCCCCTGGTGGCCCTGTGCAAGATCCCTCTGGTGCTTAAACCCTTAGATGGCAGATTAGACTTGTATTCAATTTATTGGGTAATGATAAAATGTTTTCCAAAGTGGTTGTTCTAATGTATATTTCCAACTAGAGTGAGTATGAATTCCTGTTGATTAATATTTTATCCTATAATTGCTATTTTAAAATTTAGAAGTGTTTGCCAGTGTTGTGGCAATGTGATTTTGATTTGCATTCCCTGATCACACAATGGATGGAGCATCTTTTCTTGTATTTATCGGACATTTTTGTTGACTCATTCTATGATATGCTTCTTTATTCGTTTTGCCTATTGTCTCCCTTGGAGTTGTCTTTTTCCTAATGATCCCATAGCATATATTTTTCCCATTAAGTTTATTAGTACATTTAAAGCAAGTACTACAGTTACATTTATCACTGGGAACTTGTACCTTTACATGATATGTCTTGGTTCTTCTTTTTCCTCATAACCCTGCCTTTTATTCACCTCCTTCACCCTTCCCTATTTACAAAAACTTTGTTTCCATTTTTTCATTTTTTAACATTTTCCCCTTATTTCCTTTGCCTTCCCCTTCCCACTTACCCTTTAGCCATTTTTCCCTACTTCACCCTCTCATTTATGCCATTTGAACCTTATTACACTTCTAGTTTTTCACACCCATTCGGTATTTGCTCGTGTGTCCCTATTTATTTCTCTTGCAAGTATAGCCTCAATGTGCATCCACTTAGGTATAAATGTTTCTAGTTTCTCATTCTTTATGGCTGAGTAATACTCCATTTTATAGAGAAACCACATCTTTGTTATTCAGTCTCCAATTGTTGGGCCCTTGGGTTGTTTACAAGTTTTAGCTATCACAAACTGTGCCGCTATAAACATAGGTGTGCATATATCACTGTGGTATGATTCTTTTAGTTCTTTTGGAAAGATACCCAGCGGAGGGATGGCTGGGTCAAATGGAACCTCTAGTCCCAGCTCTGTGAGGTATCTCCATATTGATTTCCACAGTGGTTGCACCAGTCTGCACTCCCACCAACAATGAACAAGGGTTGCTTTCTCCCCACAACCCTGCCAGCATTTATTATTAGTTGATTTCTGGAGTGAGGTGGAATCTCAGTGTTGTTTTCATCTGCATCTCTCAAATGAACAGTGATGTGGAACATTTTTTCAAATATTTATTTGCTGCTTTTACTTTTTATGAGAAATGTCTGTTCATTTCAGATGCCCATTTTTGAATTGGGTCTTTGTATTTGGACTGATTTTTTTTTTATTCCTTTATATATTCTAGATAATAGTCCTTTACCTGAGGATCAGCTGGTAAAATTTTTTCCCACATTGTAGGTTGTCTCTTAGCTCTATTGGTGGTTTCTTGTGCAGTGCAGAAGCTTTTTAGTAAGATGAGATCCCAGTTGTTGATTCTTTGTGCTTGTTCCCATGCTACTGAGGATTTGTTCATGAAGTCTTTTCCTATGCCAATATCTTTGGAAGTTCTACCTAACTTATTTTCCAACAAATTTAGTGTTTCTTTTTTAATATTTAGATCTTTAATCCACTTGGATTTTAGTTTAGTGCATGGTGAAAGATAAGGGTCTGGTTTTAATCTTTGGCAGGTTGAAATCCATTATTTCCAATACCATTTATTAGAGGCTATCTTCAGTGAGGACGATTGTCGTCTTTGTCAAAGATGAGGTAGCTGAGTATGTATGGTGTTGTTTCTGCATCTTCTTATCTATTCCACTGATCCTCAGGACTTTTTCTTTGCCAGTACCATGATGTTTTATCACAGTGGCTTTGTACTATAGTTTCAAGTTGGGGATGTGATACTCCCTGCCATGTCTCTGTTGCCTAGAATTGCTTTTACTGTTTTAGTTCTCTTCTGGTTCCAAATGAATTTTTGTATTATTTTCTCAAGTTTTGTGAAATGTACTGTTGCAATTTCAGTTGGGATTGCATTGAATCTGTATAGCAGTTTTGGTAGTGTGGCCGTTTTCACTATGTTGATTCTTCCTGCCCAGGAGCAAGGGATATCTTTCCATTTCCTTATGTCCTCTTCTGTCTCTTTTTTCAGAGTACTGTAGTTTTCAGTGTAGGGGTCTTTTGCTCCTTTTGTTGGATTGATTCCTAGGTACTTAATTTTTGGGGATGATATTGTGAAAGGGATTGTTTCCCTAATTTCTCTCTCAGTGAGTTTGTTATTTGTGTATGAGAAGGCTATTGATTTTTGGGTGTTGACCTTGTATCCAGCTACTCTGCTGAGTTGATTAAGTCTAGAAGCCCTTTGGCAATTTTTTTTGGTTCTTCTATGTAGAGTATCATATCATCAGCAAATAATGACAGTTTAACTTCTTTTTTCCTGCCTTTATTGCTTTAATTTCTTTCTCTTGTCTAATTTTTGTGGCTAATGTTTCCAGAACTATTTGAACAGGAATGGTGATAATGAGCATTCTTGTGTTGTTCTTGATTTTAATGTGAAGGATTTCAGTTTCTGGTCATTTAATATCATGTTGGTTGTTGGTTTTTCATAGATAGCCTTTATTAAATTGAGATAAAGACTATATATTCTGATTTTATGCAGATTTTTTTCATGAATGGATGTTGAATTTTGTTAAATGCTTTTTCTGAATGTATTAAGATGATTATATGGTTTTTGTCCTTGACTCTGTTAATATAGTGTATTACATTTATTGATTTGCATATGTTGAACTATCCTTGCATCCCTGGAATAAATCCAACTTTATCAGGACGTATGATCTTCTTGATGACCCTCTGTGTTCTGTTTGCTAGTATCTTACTGAGGATTTTTGCATCTATGATCATTAAGGAGATTGGCTTGTAGTTCTTTTTTTTTTTTTTTTTTTTTTTTTTTTTTTTTTTTGGTTGAATCTTTCCCTGGTTTTGGAATCAAAGTTACACTGGCTTCGAGGAATGAGTTTAGAAGTATTGGTTCCCTTTCAATTTCATTGAAAAGTTTAGAGTAGTGGCAGTAGTTCTCTAAATGCCTTGTAGAATTCAGGAGTTAATACATCAGGAACTGGCCTTTTCTTCATTGGTAAAATTTTAATTACATTTTCAAATTTACTGATTGTAACTGGATGTTCAAATATTTTCTTACCTTCTTCATTCAGCTTTGGTAATTTATAAGTATCAAGAAATCTGTCCATTTGTTCTATGTTTTCCACATTATTAGAGTATAGGTTCCCAAAGTAGGTATTGACGATCCTCTGGATTTCTGCTGGATCTGTTGTAACTTCACCTTTTTTGTTCCTGATTGCATGGATCTGAGAATTGTTGTTCCTTTTTTTGACAAGGTTGGCTAAGGGTTTATTGATTTTATTTATTCTTTTGAAAACCCAACTCTTCGATTCATTGACTTTTTTGCATCATTCTGTTAGTTTCCATTGCATTAATTTCTGCTCTGATCTTTATAATTTTCTCCCTTTTATGAGCTTTGAGTTTTTCTTGCTCTTCTTTTTTCTAGGAGCCTAAGATTCATCATTAGGTTGTTTATTTGAGCTCACTATGTTTTCCTAGTGTGGGCATTCACTGCTATGAATTTTCCACATAGAACTGCTTTCATTGTGTCCCATAGATTCCTGTATGTTGTATTAGCATTATCGTTTATTTGTAAAAACTGACTAATTTCTTCTTTAATTTCCTCTGTGACCCATTGATTGTTCAGGAGAATGTTGTTCAATTTCCATGTGTTTGTGACGTTCTTATGGTTTCTTATGCTATTGATCTCCAGCTTAATTGCACTATAGTCTGACAATCTACATGGGATAACTTTGATTCCTTTGAATTTATTTAAACCTTTTCTATGAGCTAGTATGTGGCCTATTTTGGAGAATGATCCATGTGCAGCCAAAAAGAATGTATATTCTGATTTTGTGGGGTGGAACACTCTATAGATGTCTATTACATCTATTTTTTCAAAAGCTTGATTCTGTTCTAGTCTATCATTGATTTTTTTTGCCTAGATGATCTTGCTATTTGTGACCATGTGGTGTGTAGGACCCACCATTACAATTGTATTAGTGCTTATTTGGTTTTTCATTTCCCTTAATATTTGTTTTATATAGTTGGATGCATTAATATTTGGTGCATATATATTTATGATTGTCATCCTTCTTCTTGGATTGTTCCTTTTACAAAGATGTAGTGGCCTTCTTTGTGTCTCTTAATCAGTTTTGGTTTGAAATTTACTTTTTCTAGGAATAAGATAGATACCCCTGCCTTTTGCTGGGCTTCTGTTTTCCATTGGTTCACTTTCAGTCTATGAGTTTCTTTTTGAACTAGGTTTGTTTCTTGTGTACAACATATTGTTGGATTTTGCTTCTTAATCCATTCTGCCAGTCTGTTTCTTTTGATTGTTGAATTGATGCCGTTGGCATTGATAATTATAACTGATATGTACTGACTTATTGTCATGTTATTGTCCTGTTATTGGCTATTTTAACTTTTCCCCTCTCCCTTCAGTTTCTTGCCTTGCCTAGTTTATTTGCTCTGTTGGGCTTCATGGTGTTGTGACCTTCATTGTCTTTTTCTAGGATATTGTTTAGAATTGTTTGTAATGCTGGTTTAGTATTCATGAAGTTTCTCAGGTGTTCTTTGTCATGGAAGTATCTTATTTCCCCATCCATTTAAAAAGAGAGTTTTGCAAGATATATCAGTCTAGGTTGGAGGCTGTTTTCTCTTAGGACCTGAAATAACTTACACCAGGCTCTCCTTGACTTGAGGGTTTGTGTTGAAAAGTCTGCTGTGATTCTGATGAAAATGTGGAGCACTTCACAAATTAGTATGTCATCCTTGCACAGGGGCCATCCTAATCTTCTTTGTATTGTTCCAGTTTTAGTATATTTGCTGCTGAAGTGAGCACAGTAACTTTTTTTTGGTGCTGGAGATGGAACTCAGGATCTTGCACTTGTGAGGTGGGTCATGGTGCCACTGAGCTAAATCCCCGGCCCTGTGATTGACTTTTGAAAACTTGTTTCTATATCATGATTCCTACTAACCTTTAAATGCATAAATTTTATCTGAAAGCTCTTTTTGTAAAAATTCTATATAGGCAATATTATGTACAATGCAGATGGTTTTGGTTTATTTTTCTCTGCAATCATTATACTTGATAGATATTTTTCTTCTCCTTTTTGCACTGGTAGAACCTTCATTTCAGTGGTGAGCAGAAGTAAATGTGGACAGTGTCACTGACATATTCCTGATCCACAGTGAATATCATTCCTGAGTCACCATTAAATGGGATGTTCACTTCTGGGTAGTCTTGCTCCTGGTATTGGTAATATTGTTGTAGATTTTTAGAAAGTATTTTTCCTTTCATTCAAATCCATTAAATGTGACCTGTCAAATTTTATTGACTATCTTTTTCTTCATCTTTTGGGTGACAACTTTTTTTCTTTTTTGTCTGTGATTATCATATATTTTATTAATCAGTTTTGTAATGGAAACCAACATGATATTCATGAATTGATCTCAGTGTGGTTCTTCTTTTTCCTTCTTTTATGTAGTGATAGATTTCATTTGGTAATATTTTGTTTAGATATTTATAATCCTGTTCATGAATGTGGGTGGCCTTTATTTTTCTTTTCTCTTTTAGAAAGCATGTGTCATATTCTTAGCTTCATAATACAAATTGGGAAGTTTCCCCTTTGTCTAATCTCTGGGAGGCCTTGTACAACACTTGTGTTAACTCTTTCTGAAATATCTTGTATATACAACTTTATTAGTCAGCTTTCCTGTTGTTGGGACAAAATGCCTGACACCTGTAATTTAAAGGAGTAGAGACTTATTTTTGCTTATGATTTCAGAAAGCTCAGTCCATGATGAACTGACTCCAAGAGAAAAATATAGTGTAAGCATGAGGCAGAGGAAGGGTGCTCACCACATGTCAGCTGGATGCAGAGCAGAGGAAAATGCCTGAGAGGAAGGGGCCAGGGAGCAGATTCAGTGCCACAGTCATGCCTCCATGACCTACAGTACACCCAGAATTGTGCTTCAAGCTAATCGAATCAACAACCCAGCTAAGTCGTTACAACCACAATTTTCCCTGTTTTACAGATGAGACAACTAAGGCACAACCTACCAAGTGATTTTTCCAAGCCACATGCATACTTCATAAGGATTAGAATAAGGATGCAAACTCTGATGATCTGGATGCAGAATGCATTCTGAATCATTCTGTGTACTGTTTCTCAGTAGCATTGCTTCAGCTTTGAACTCATGTAAATACGATTCTGTTCATTGAGTAGATAATTATATGAAATTTTATTGGGCGAAATTGATCATTGAAGATAAGAATTTTTTTCTTATAAGTGAATAATACCTTTGAAACTAAAGAATAATTCAACGATAAATTTCTAATTCACTCCTCCTACCCCCATACTTCCTATTCAAGGAAACAGGAGTCCCCATTTTCTTCCAATATCCTTCTTTCTTTAAAAACTAGAGTTTTTGAAAGGTAGCTTGAAGGAAATATCACCACTAGGGAGATAATTCCTGTGATGAGAAGGGTGAAGTACACTGAGAAAGTTGTTTCTCCTTTTCCTATAAACTATTCTTGCATGAAATGTGATGAGTAAGCCTGGCTCGTCATGCAGATGGAAACATCTGTGAACGTTTCATTTCTTTGCTAGGAAGAAATCACAGTGTGCTGCTTTGCCATGATGTGGGCCATTTGATTTGAAGTTACTGGAATATTTCTTTTTTTGCCCCATATCTAGTTCCTTACACGTCATTCCCCCATTGGCTTTCTAATTAGATTCAGACTTTTTAGTGCTTACTTTAGTACTATCCACACTGTGGTTTAGTTTGTATTGCTTTAGTAACTTATTTTGGTGCTCCTTCTTGTATACACCTCTCCAAATGCCATCTCCCCATATTCACTCAGTTGTACCATTTATGTCGCCTTCTAGCATCCTCTGCGAGACGGTCTTCATTCTCCTTCATTCAGATCCATCCTCACACTTATTCATTCCAGTGTCTTGGAACCACCTCTATAGAGTCTGAGAACAAACAATGATGACTTTTTCTGACAACTTGAATGCCCATGATTTCTCTTTCCTTATGCACCCTGTTTTTTTAATGTAGTCTGTTATTTTCTTCTGGGTGGTATTGCCCTCCTTATTTGACTATAAATCCAATGAATAGGGACATGGCCCTATTCTAGGCTATGACTTGGCAGAGAACTGATGCTCTCTATACAAGTTTCACTGCTAAATCTGCTGTGCTATGTGGTATGGGTAAACAGAAACTTCCAGTGCAAACCATTGGATTGAACTGCAGCCTCATTAATCTTTCCCCTGTAGTAGAGAATAGGTCAGCGCTGGTCTTCTTTTTCTAAAGGATTCAGTTACTAGTATGCTGAAAAGATGGCCATTTACTGACTGCTTTTTTCTGAATGGATGAAACAAAGGAATTTTAAAAACAGCATGTTTGTCCTAGCTTTGTCTTCTTTCACAAATCCTAAGACAGTAGATTATCTACTGATGATTAAAACATGAAACGAGGGAACAGGACAATAGAACCCCCTCACTAGGTATTCCAAAATCTATTTCTATTATTTTATATGTATCCTGACCTTAACTCCTCTCTCTTTCCCCTTTATTAAATCTCATTCTGAACTGTAACCATATAGTCTTTCTGATCCTTTTGATTTCCTTGGAAGGCTTTGTTGGTAACAATTATCTAATTATTTTTCAAAAGCTGATTAAGTGTGGCTGTGGGAGGAGAATACTCTTTACTAAGATTTACCCACCGCATTGGTTTGGATTGCCTTTGCTCTAGGAGAGTATTTAAATCAAGTTAGTGAAAGTATTAAAAGATAAGAAAGTAGCAGAGAAAAGGAGAGCTTTGAAGGAAGAAAGGTAACGTACTGGCTTGTGTTTAAATGGAAAGGTCAGAGTGTATCACACAGGGATATGTGTCTGACAACAGACAAAGCCATCATAGATTTTATTCCCAAAGATAAGTTAATTCAGTGCTAATGATAAGTGTCTAAAAACCAAGTGAGAAATCCCTGTTTGTCTCTGTGTACTCACTTAGGACAGAAGAGGTGAAGGATCTAATTGTAGTTACTTTTTAAAGTTTACTGTGCTTATTTTAAGATTTCTACTGCATCAAAGTAAATGACTTGGATTATATCAACACACAGTATAACAAGAGGCTTGGCTTGTTGGGTACAGACAGTTATTGTGATTTGATTTTTATAAGAGGATAATTATTACTCCATTTATCTGTTTTTTTTTATTTGGCTAAAATCCTATTATTCAGACAAAAAATTTTCCCCAGAATGCTCTACCTACAACTTATTTTTTACTTTGTTAGCTTCTTGCAACAAACGAACAAACAAAAAACTGGCGGGTGGCTGGTTTTCCTAAATGATGCCCTTACATGATTTCCAGGTTTGTCATAGATATGTTGATTGAACCTGTATATTCTTCGAAGCATTCCTGCTGTGGTTTTGTTTTATTTTGGTCTTTTTGACTAGGCTGTCTCACAGCTGCTTAGGCCAGGGCTGTCTTGGATGGAGCTGTGCTGTGCAAGCGTACATCAGAATCCCCTTCTTTCAAACTCATTGAATCAACCAAATGCTCTTCATTCCATTGGCCTTCTTATGTCAGTCTTCATTTTTGGGGATCCATTTGGGTGCCCTAATTTTAGGTTGTGACTTTTTTAGCATCATGTGTCATCCCTTCCCCAGCATAACTTCTAGTATGGCCTGTGTTTTCCCCAGATGGGTAATTTGATTTTTTATGCCTTTGATTATCAGAACCAGGAAACAGTAGTTTATGGAGACCACTAAAAGTGCATCTCCCTGGGTAGGCCAGGGAAATGTTTGGACAGGAAGACCTGGAGTCACTGCACAGGGACCACATGGTGCTGTCTGATACTCGCTACAGCCACGCAAGGGAGGCACTTTTAGTGTCTCACTGGAGACACAAGCTTCTTAGTAATCATTCCCCATGACTTTCTTCTGTGTTAGCTATGTGACTTTCTTCATCATGGAAATGGTATTGATGATAATAATATGTATTCATCAGGCTTATCATGAGGAGTAAGTTAGGTAATGTAGGTAAAGCACCTGGTTCCTGCCTAGCACACAGAATGCCTGCAAACATTATCAAAAGAAAGAGCCAGAGAAGCCATCAATGCTGAATAGCCATATTAGAATATGCTTTTCTTCAAACAGAGCTCTTCATGGGCTTTTGTGATTAGTAAAGCCTATTGTTTTCTAGGTCTACCAGAACTAGGTATTTTCTTCCAGTCATGCATGGTCCATTAGGCAGAAGACAGATTCTGTCATTCTGAGCAAAGGTCTGTTACTTGAGCATGGGAGGCAGGGCTGGCCATGACAAGAGCAGTGATCTGGACAGGGAAAAACCAGCTCCCCATCGGGCTCTGCTTCCTACAGGCTGGATAATCCTGGAGACAAAACATTTGCTTCTGTCCTTGGCTTCTACACAGAGCAGGATGCAATTGAGGTCCTCTGTAGACTCAGGCCTCTGAGTTGAAAAGCCATTTCAAGCAGTGAAACACATGAGGAAAAACCAAAAATGTCACCTAAGATTTTGAAGAAGTGTCTTGGAGATACCTGTGCACTACACTCTGAGGGAGGATTTTTGCATAGGAGTGCCAGCCCATTGTTCCTGCTTGTGATGACAAATGGCACTGCCATCACCCCACCTTGCAGTGGACCCTCTTTCTGAGAAGAGAGAGCCACTTTGTCAGTGTGTAAATGCTTCAGGTGGCTTCCACCCTGGTAGCTGTCCTTAACAAGGTAAAAAACAGTGCTATTTAATTATGTAGCATCCAGCTTTTCTCCTCACAAAGCAAAGCCCTGCTGCTTATTAAAAAGGGAATCTG